GGTCCGAAAGGGAGTGCAGACAAGAACCCCCACTGCTCAGGTGTGAAGACGCACAAGCCAAACACGGTGAGCAGGGTTGTCTGAACGCAGCGGGTGGGGTGGAAGAGCGGAAGCACGGAGCTTTGTTGGTTCGTCGGTGGCGCGGTCGGAGCTGAAGTCGGCGACTGTACAAATCGCAGTGGCTTTTACACCGCATGAATGGGAGGTGTCATTAGCCGTGGCAGAGTGGAATTCGCGGATATTGGCGCGGATCCAAGAACGAGAGGGAGGAGAGCAAGAGGTACGGCTTGCTGCACCGGTATCCAACATTGAAACCCGATAAAACACACATTGAAACATGTAACTCGTGCGTGTTATCGACTCAGCGAGGCTGGATATTTATCAGAGCCAAGGTTCGAGGGCATAGACTAGTTGCTCTAGGAGCCTCGGACGATTTCGCGTGAAACACAGTTTTTTCACTTCCCCTCTATACCGTGACATCGTGCTGACCTGACGAGCAATGACAAGGTCTGTGCGGGACGGGTATACACATATACACAGTATCCCGAGGAATCAAGCACGGTGCCCAATCTCTCGTTGCCCGTCGGGAAAGGGAGAGAGCAGTTTTCGTTTCATCCGTCGTACTGAAAGAGAAATGGGATTGTTGATGGAAGGTGCATGGAATCGTCTCTATATATTTTTACACAGTGTCAACCAAATGCCTTCCATCAGATGCCATTTCTCATCACCGTGTTCTATCTTCGACCACCACCATTGTCTTGACGACCCTCCCCGTGGGGCAAAGAGCACGCCTTTCGTGCAGAGTGCGTGATTGCATTGATTCTGAACATGAATCAGCGGTGCATCGTCAAGTCAAGAAGGCCGAGGTGGGGGGTGGATTCGACGACGGTGCTATTGTAGCGTGTTGAACCTCCGTGTTCAGGACTTGTGCCAAGCCGGAGAAATGGTTTCCGGGGACAATACTTGTATGTGATCGGGTAGCAAAACATGGAACAACATTGTTGTATATATATCTGGGCAGCTTCCAGAATTCAAGTGTGACGCATTCTGCCGCACACGTACGAAGGCCCACCGGCAGCTTCAGTTTCCAACGTATCGGTCAAAAGACGGCAATGTTCTTTTTCAGTGCTCTAGCTCGCAATATGAATGATGCAGTCGTTTTGGTGTCATGAGGTACAGAGCCCATGAAAAACAATGGAAACCTACCTTCGATTCCCGCCGCGTGTAGGGCTGAGTAGGCGTGCCGCGGTAGGTGATGAAGCATCACCGTCTCTACCGCGAGAGTCCATCTGAAGTATTCATGGTTTAGAATCCCACCAGAAGTAGGACCCTAGCCCCTGCTGATGAATTGGGTTGGGCACGCAAAGGCACGAGGGCAGCAGGGACACCGCGGGAACACAACTGAACGTGAGTGACACAATCAATCACATCATAGAGGTTCACTCTATTTGAAAGGTGAACGTGCAGAAGTTGAAAGTTCAGCAAACAGCCATCCATTTGTTTTCCCCCATTACAAATGTAGATCATTCGTTCTTCTTTCGTCGCTCTCCTCCCCTGTGCGTTGGGATTGTTTCCAACGGCGGTGGATAGACTACATGACAATGAGAGCAGATCTCCAACGATATAGGAGTATATTATTACTGTATGCACGGAGAAACTTTCGCAGACCATCAGGGCGGTGCCTGCTGGACGTTTATCGAATTTATGTGTGTAAGGCTGTCATCCTGCATTTTGTCCAACGGTGGACACGTGCCATCAACGCGGTCAGACCGCGGTGGACCACAACGCCACCTTCAAACTGAACTGCATAGTCGGAATTTGTTTAAGGGGGTTCTGTAAGGATTTCGGTACACCCCACGAACGCTTCTAGACCCCCATCTACATTGCAAAATGTTTGTGCTGTAAACCCTAGGAGAGCAAGTACGGGCAGCGCCATTCGAACAACCTTATGTAGAGACCCCTTGCCAGCGACACCCACCATGTCTGTGTTGGGCGTCGTCACGCCGGTCTATGACACAGGCCAGGAGCAACACACCGAGCAGAAACAATGCGCCGATTGTCAAAACGAACGTCTCCATTTGCTGATACTCTCGAACGCCCGGAATAATGACTGCTAGAGCGGCAGGAGCTCTGGGTCAAGCGACGTTCACTCAATCAAGGACGCGACAGCCATGCGGTTGGCCGTCTTACAGCTTGAACCACATCCACGTGTGTTCAGCCATAACACGCTCATATTATGGTCGTCACCCTGTTATCCAACAGCGAGATTGCTGAGAGTGCCACCGCGCTCTGTCATGTTGTCATTCGCCGGTCCTCCTAAACTATATGGGTATCTCTCGCTATTCACTCGTCTCTCTCCGTTGCAACCGGCAACAGTCGGCGCGACACGGCATCATTACTTGCACAACCCTCGCGGTTGCCGCTGGAGGGTCTTGCAAAAAACGTCATGAACATCAGGCTGTTTTATGGCCTCTGTTACTCGGAAGGAGCACGGTCAACCTAGTAGCTAAAGATCATTCGATGCTGCACAGCACTACTCACTCACGATGTAGGATGGTCCTCGCTGTACAGACCCTCACTCGTGCTCGTGGAAACAAGGAATCTCGGCCGGGATTATTGAGCACGGACAGACACGGCGTAGCGGCGTTGCCTGAAGGGAAAGCAGGAGCAAGAAGAAGTGTGGGGCTGAGGAGATTGTGAGGGATACGCCCACACACAACAAGGTGTAACTAATCATTCATAATTAACGAGTGATATCGCACTCAACACTTTACTTAGTCTGAGCCTCTAGCGAACCAAACATGCAAGATTCGGTGCACACAATACAGCATCGTCCGCGAAGGTAACCCATAATGCGTGGTGAACCGTGCTCACACAAGGCGGTACGCGAAACCTAATCCACGTCACGAATGGGCGATAGCGTGGTCCGGGTACACCCGTTCACAGCACGGTCCCTCTGCGGTCGACCGCCACGAATACAAACTGCACTCTCGTCGTCGTAGAGAGCCGGGCGGACTGTACCGGGGGACGCAATGTATGAGGAGTTTCCACGCCACAACGAGTCTACGAATCGCCGCCGTTGATTGACGGCCTTGTTTTTCTTTTTTTTCTTTTTTGGTCTTCACTTCAAATCAGCGCTCACAGCACTAGTGCCGTTTACTCCCCAACCCGTGGTCACACAGAAGAGCCCCTCTCTACCCTCCGCTCCTGCGGTACTTTGCCTTCGATTTTTAATGCGAGAAGAGTTCAGCACTCTCTTCCCTCTGTTTACACACGAACTAGCGCTATCCACTAGACCAGGAGCGGAAGCGAGAGAAAAACTCACTTTGCAAGAAAAGCTCGCTTACGCCGGGATTCGAACCCCTGACCTGACCTCAAGAAGGTTACGAGGCTACCAACTAGCCCACCGGGGCGACCGGCACTTGGTTGGAAGCACGTGTGTTGAGGTAGACTTGGGCTTATTCCTCTAAACCTCACTCCTCTCTTTGTGGCATATCGAGAGACGAAAGCCTCCACGGAGAGGCTGGTGCATTCGAGAGCGCTAAGAAAAATAATACAACGACAAAACACGAATTCAACCCATTAGCTCTCAGTTGGTCGTGTTGCGAAAGCTCACAAAATGGATTCATTCACCACTGAACGAGGTCAATTCCAACTCTACTACATATGTAGCGGATAATCGGCAGTCCACTATCGACCGGAAAGCAAGCTACATAGTAGGAAGTTGGACCTTGACGGGCGACGCCCAGAATGACACGGTCATCACTCCTGACCGTTGGCTGACGGTCCCGTACGAACGTATTCAGAGGACGTCCCTACGAGTTCATTCGTGTCTAGAAGCGCATTCGTGTTGCAGTTTTCGAAAAAACACAAAAACGATTTCCATGGTTCACACCTCGACATTTCTTGCCTCGAGCGCCACCGATGGAGCAACACGCCTACCTACCCGCATCTCGGTTCTCTCTCCATCTCCAAACTCCCTCCTCCCAGGATTCACTCAACGCCGCCCCCCACTCCTTCATACACGAACGGCCAGGCGGCCTAGCTTACAGCTGGTTGTCGGATATGACGAGACAACATACGTCACAACCCGGAAAACCGTGCGTAGCAATATGTGGTACCTACCGCTGTCGCGTGTTCGATCTTTGACCACCGGCCTGTGCCCGGCGTGATGGCATACTAGAAGATGACAATTTTGAAGCCATTGTCTTTTCCGCCGATTACCTTGCGGACCACGTAACGACGACGCTATTTAGTCAACCGCGAAGCTCAAAGCTCGTGCGGGCGACATTTACAATCCCCACGCGGAGTTCAACACAGAAAAAAAACAGACACGGAAGCGCTATGTGGAACATCATCGCTTCAGGCAGCTCGGTCAGACACAACCCTTCCCACGCCGTGTCCTACACAGAAACAGAACAAAACGTTGGAGCCCAACCACAACATTCCAAGGAATGAAGAAAAAAGGACAACGGCCGCAACGCACGCCGACCATCAGGCCATCAGGCGCGCGTCGCGACAGACTCACGTCCACCGCGCTGTCAATCGCTCCCCCCTCCCCCTCCTTCGAAGCAATTACACAGTGCATGCGCCTGTCGCTGGAAGTGAAAGCACCAGAAAATAAATTAAGTCATACGCAGCTGTCATCCGTATGCACGGAAGTAAGCACAAGACGCCGAACACCCTTAGCAGGATGCAGCGCACCGTCCATGTGACTCGCCGAACACCTCACGGCGCTTCGCTCCTGACGAATGTGCTAGCCCGGTCTGGCGGCGAAAACTCGGCGTCCTCCACCCCGGCTTTGTGAGAGGCCAATGGCCAAACGACCTCCTCCGGCATGCACGGCAATGAGTACCCCCCCGACGCATGCGAGGTCAATGGTCTAACGAACTCCGGGCATGCACGGAAGTGAGTACACCCCCCGACGACGCACCACTACAAACCGCGCTCTCGAAACTTTCACACAAAAATCCGAGCGAAACACACACGTCCGCGAGCCTTTAGTACACAAGGCGGTACTTCCCCACAAGGTACGTACGATACTTGGCGTACATCTCGGCGCTGAGATTGAGCCACCTGGGGACCAGGACTCTCTCCTCCCTCTCCAGGTGGATCTCCAGGCTCTCGGCGTAGGCCTTCAGGGCGACCACCACGGCTTGGGCGGAGGCGACATCGGCGCCGCCGCTAACCGCTCCGGCCGTTGTGGGGGCCGACCGCAGGTTCCTGATGCGGTCGAGGGCATCGTTTCCGAGGTTCGTTTCGGAATGGTCGGCTTCTAGGTCCCTAAAAATGAAGATGGGCGAGAAAAAAAAGAAAATTTCGGGGGATAAAATGTTGGCGAGGGAAGGGGTTTAGGTCGAGCGCGTCGTTTCCGAGCTGGGTGTCCGTGTCCGAACGATCGGCTTCTAGGCCCCAGCCAGGAAGATAGGCGAGAAAATAGAAAATTTGGGCGGGGGAAGGTCTCGAGGCAAGGGGGGCTACATAGGCCGCTAAAAATATCTCAGGCAGGAACCGCAGGAGGGAGTCCAACCCCCCCCCTCTTTGTGACCCCGGTTGGGTCGTCTAGCTAGTAGAAGTGGAGGATTGGTGCCAGAGGGGCAGACGACAGAATCCAATGATGAAAAAAAAAAAAAAAGGCCGAGTGCGTCGTTTCCGAGCTGCGTGTCCCTGCTGGTAAGATGGCCCAGAAAAGAAAATTGGAAAAAAAAGTCACGATGCAAGGGGTTTAGGGATGTGGGTGTTGGGTGCTTTCGGTTTGTGTTTGGAGACTGTTCCGGGTAAGGGGCTCACAATGAAGGTCAAAGAACAAAGAACATCGAAAAAAGGGCGTAGAAGAGAGCGATGGAGAGAGAGAGCCAGAGGGAGATAGACAGAGAGAGACAGAGAGAGAGAGAGACGGAGACGGAGACAAGACCGGCAGACAGAGACAGAGACAGAGACGGAGACGGAGACGCAGACAGAGACAGAGACAACGACAGAGACCGAGACAGAGACAGAGACAGAGAGAGGCAGAGACAGACAAAGAGACGAGAGACAGAGACAGAGAAGATAACCGTGGCGTGGGGTCCGAGGGCACCGTGCGAGTATCATTGGTACCGCCACTTGTGGGTCGTGTACGGTTTTCTGGTCGCAGAGAGTAACTCCTGTGGGGTGGGGACGGCGCGCATAGAGGACCGGATCGCTTGTGCACAGAGCAGGTGCAGACTGACACAGATAGGTTGGAGACAGAAATTAAAAACAAAAATTTCGAAAATAGTTGACAAGGACAACTTTCGCCAACAATTTTGAAGGTTTGATGTACATTGTTTTGTTGTGGGTATTTTTTTTTTCAGTTTCGGGGACGCAATATAGCGAATGAACACGGCAGTACCGCTTCAACGCTTGTAAAAAGGGTGGGGGGGGGGGGGGGGGGGGGG